GCCTTCAAAAGAATCAAATTATTAAAGATTTTTGCAGAAAATCCTGGGAGATTGGGGTTGGTTTAAGAATGGCAGTATTGTCCCCCACGGCGACCATTCCCAGCTTCCCTCTAAAGGAGTGACAACACCCTCTTTATTTCTCCAACCCTTTCAATGGTGTCAAAATATCCCAGAAGAGATACCTTAGTTTCTTCCATTTTAATCTTTTGCATTTATAGGGTTTCGGCCTAATGGTGTTTCCCATCTCCTTCCTATCAGCAGGTGCACTAAGATTGGACTTTCTCAGGGTCCATTCACCTTCTGCCGTCTCATCACCGGAATCGGACCTGGGTGGCCGGGAAGTGGGGGGGGGGGTGGTGAGGTTCCACTCCCCCCTGAGTCATGACATGCATCTCTTGCACTCTTTTTTAGAGAAGATACCAGTAGTTGCACCAGGGGCCGTGTTGGGTCTCAGTTCCAGGCTTGGAACTGATCCCATTTCAAGGAACACATTCATACACAGGCAGTGCAGAGGCACCGGCCAGTCTAACTGCATGCATTTGGGCTGGGGTAGTAACACACACACACACACACACACATACACACAAACATACACACAGACACAGACACACACACACACCCCATAAGGTGTGAGGAAATAGTTTACCCCACCTAACCTCCATGCCATTCTTGTTATTATATTACAAATTTATTTACACTTTGGCTCAGTGGGCAAAACTATTTCCTACACTTTGTGCAGTTATTAATTAAATGTTAGTACATGTTCTTGTAATATATTAATAATGTTAAAAAAGCTAAATATAATAAAGCACAAGGTAACAAATGATAATTAAAAGACTTAATATACATGATAAACTGGTGTCAATTTGCAGAAGGTATTGATTATAAATTGGGCAGCGTCATGCAGCTCTCAAGCCTTGCGAGTGTCGGTCTGTCATACCTGTCCTGTGTTTGCAGTCAGGTTATTGGCTGTGTGACCTCGCTCTGAGCCAATGGCAGCTAACGCTGACTCTTATTTAAGCAGAGCAGTGACGATGACTCACTTCTCAGGGTTTGTCATTGTTCTTAGAGTGTAAGACTCAGGGTTCCATTTCATTCAGAGTCTTAGTTTGTGGGCCTGCATTTGTTTTGTTTTGTTTGTAGTTTTAGTCTGGGCAGCCGACCTTTTCAGTCCTGCTGTATTTCCCATGTCTCGTTTGAGATTTCTGCCCTGTGGTGTGACTCGCTCATAGTTGCAAATTAAACAAAAAAACAATACATAAATACCTTTTAATCGTTCTGTCTACTTTTTAGCTATAATTATATTAAATGCCTCTGGTTAAAATTAATATTTCCAAATAGGATTTCCAGTTCAAACTGGCATCCTGTGCATGTGCCATCCAGCCATGGTTTCCAGGTTCATCACAACCCTTTACTGGATGGATGAATGGATGGAGGGATGAGTGATTGGATGGATGGATGGAGGGATGAGTGGATAGATGGATGGATGGATGGATGGATGGATGGATGAAACGTGGTGTTTAAGCATCATATTTTTCCACATGTCTTACTAAGGCAAACTGAGAGATGTGTGAGAGAAGCGTTATCCACATGTAATCATGCAGGTGCTCAGATATCCAGTACGACCACGCAAAGGAATGCATTTGTTGGAATAAGTGGGTGTTATTGATGCCGTTGATTGTTTCAACAGAATAACCACAGAGGTTAGAGCATAAAACACATTTTGAAATATTTTCCAAATATTTTCCCAATACATGACAAAAACCAACCCATGTTCCAGAAGCAGAAGCACATCACTCCATGAGAGACATAGAACATGCATGGTGGGCAGATGGAGAGACATCGGGGAACCTCGTTCTCTTTTTTTTTATCTCTCTCTCCTTGATTTTAATGGCAACTTCAGCGTGATTTCATGTTAACTTGTGCATGTGCAAACAGCCCTTCCGTCGGTCGTAGGCCATGCGTCATCAGTCACCCTGCCTGATTCCAGGAGAACTATCTGAGAAGGTCGAGGTAGGTCTTCTAGGAAAGTCAAATGACTGTGCCATCAACTTCCCACCATTGACTGTATCTGCCCATCAGCGTATCAAAAATAAAGGAGTCCACAATGCAGATGACTGCTTTGTCATGCTGCCAAGAAAGAGTCTAGATCTCAGAATTGTTTTTCTTTTTATTATAAAGTTAACGACTATCAGGCTAGTACATATAGCAGTACACACAGTATGGACTGTGATTGGTCAGTGAAAAACAAGAAATTGAGGTAAAACCGTTACAGTGTTACAGAGGAAAACGACGAGGACAAGGACAACAATGTTCAGACACATTATTCTTTCTGCAAATATATACTCTCACTTACTAATATATACATTTATTATAAAATAAATAATCATAAAACATCAGACTTTAGGAATAAAAAAAAGCCACAAAACAAGTTTGTACAAAACTTTGGATCTTGAGACTTTAGAGCAAAATGCAGAATTGTTTTCCCGAAGCAGAAAAAAAATCATACAAAAAAAAAATAAAATCGTTCAAACAGACAAAAACGCAATACGGCACACTTTACTATTAAATTAGTCGTTCAGTAGTTTTACGGCGTCAAAGACTGTGTGGGAAGGCTGGGGAGGATCATTTGAAATGCAAGACGATAGGACAAGAACGTGAAACATACGCCATGTTGTGCTTTGAAAGATGACAGAAGACACTCTAACATACTACTAGATAGGTAAAAAAACGGCTTCTTGTGATGAAGTACTTGCTGTTTAAGGACAAGGAATTCCTCAAAGACTTCAGCAGAGATGGTCTTTGCTTGTGACTGATATATTCCATTTCCAGGCCATGAGATAAATAACTTTAAAAAGCATAAATGACATCTGTATGTAGTTATGTTCAAAAGGCAGGTCTGTGCTCCTTATTAGAAATTCAGTTCATTGCCCCCCCCCCCAAAAAAAAATATAAAAAATCACAGTAGTAATAGTGTATAAAATATTCTTACCAAGTAGCTTTCAAAGATGAGCCACTTGGGGGTTTGCTCTGTTAAATGACAGGAAAACACACTGATAGGACCAGTAAAACATTACACTCCTTAAACTGAAACAGATACTACAGTTTTTGCTTTGTATTTATATTAGGGGAAATATATAGGAATGTTTTGCCCTCAACCAGGACTATAATCTTATTTTTCCTCGTCCCTCCAAAACATTACAGACAAGCGACACTTAAATTAGGTCTATGCGGTTACTATTAATGAGTAATAAATGAAAAACTGACGTAGTACAAAACTTCACATCTTTTTTTCCTTTCTCTCAAATCTATGTCTATACGGTGTCTTTCACAGAAAGAAGAGAATACATATATAATCTTTAATAGTGTGTAGCTATGGTTGAGTAGCAGCAAACAAAGGGGAAGGTGTCATCATTGGATAGCCAAGTCTCCATGCGGTTATCTTTGCCTCACAGCCCAGGCTGTCACCCGCAAGTCTGGTCAGGCTCCAGGACGGCGCTTTATAGCAACAAGTCTCGTGCAGAGGGCCTTTATTTTTTCCCAAACTGAGAACCCGTCGAAGCCAATGACCCAGATTTAGATTTCCTGTTCTGGTTCTGACCCTGCCATCTATGCCGGGAGAGGTGCAGGCCTATGGGTCGTGGTAAATTAGCTGAATTAGTGAATGGCGAGAGAGCGAAAGAGAGACAGGGGCCAGAAGCTGCCGCTTTAGGTGATGGATGCAGTTACATGTTTTTGTTTTTTAATCCCCAAATTTCAGGCCAGTTGCTGCGTCAGAGAGGAACTGATTATAAAAAGTGCTGCAAGCGGTCAGGAACGGTAAAGGAGACGCACGCTGTGCGTCCTCAGTAACAGTCCTCCAATGGAACCCTGCCTCTTATGCAAAGCCTTTTGCCTTCTGCTTCAGTCCACAGGATAAGGCCCCCTTATGACTCACACATCTCCTGAGAAGGGGATGGGTACCTGGGCCCTCCTGCAGGAGGTGCTGCCGCCACCGTTTCCTTAGCGACACAGCAAAGATCACCATCCATCCGCAGAAGTGCTGACTTTTCAAATCTCGTTTCGTTTGCCCGACGCCCATGTCGGTTGTTCTGTCACCAAACAGTTTGGTAATGATGTAAAAAAAAATAACATGCAGCTATCCTCAAGATCAAGCACATAACAAATGTTTGGCCCAGCTGATTAAATCTGAACTTTGATTTACAAATGCGGTTGTGGTCAGTTGCAAACTATAGCCAAAAATCTTTTTCGGCAGAGGGAGGAAAGCATGCCAGGAATTGGCCGGAACAAAGTTGAGAATTTTAAAGAACAGAGAACAAAACAAAATCTTAAAACACCACAACAATACATTCACACAGGTGCAAGTGCATTCGTACCCAAATGTTAGTAGCTGGTTAACACCATGTTTTATATATACACAACATCCATTCATTCTCAATACTGGATAACACTTACATATTGAAAATATAATGTAAAAAAATAAAAAAAAAACGTGTGCTTTTGATGTGGGAGGAAGAAGTCGCAAAAAAATGTTTGATGTGAACGTACCGGCATTCAAGTCAACTGATATGAAGCAAAGAAGCTTTCAGGGGGCAGTGGAACTTAAGAGCAATTGGGACTTCACTGAAACTCACTGAGAAATGGACTCTTCCGGGTAGGGGGAGGAAGGTTTGCGGGTATTTGGGCACCCTGTTGCACCCTGGGATTCATGGAGACCTCCTCAGGCAGTTTCCCCCACATGAAGTCACACCACATGTCACAAAAAAAAGTGTTTTTTAAGACTCTTTCAAAACCCTTGCAGTCTCATTTGCAATGTGTGCCATGTTGCACTCCCCCCTCCTAATGGATTGAGTCCTCAGGTCCTTGATTGAGTAGCCGCGAGACCTCCCTTGCTGTGGTCCTGAGCATCGACTGATGCTCCGCAGAGATCGTGCCCACAGGGCTTGCAGCCTCAACAATGTGGTCACCCCAGGAAAGAGGCTGACTCACCCCCCCACCACGGATGACGAACGACCATCATCTGTGTCAATAAAGTCCGTGAAGCCACTTGACGGCCAACAGTTTGATGCTTTTTGTGTCTTTTTGCAAACGAGCCACAAAAAGATCTTACTTCTCCTCCTCACTGCAGGTGACCGTCAACCCGAGCTTGGAAAGCTTGTGTGGGTCAACTACCCTTTTCCCTCGCCCCCTCCCTCCCCCTGGTGAAACGGGTCGGCCTGCGAGGGCAGCCCTACTTGCAGGTGTGCACGTCATAGATTCGTACGCACTCCTGGCAGCTGACGTAACAGCACCAGTGGAAGATGCAGTGGCACTTCTCCTTGCGCCTCTCGGTGCGCGTGTTGTGTCCACGGCCGCAGCACAGCAGGTCACAGCCGTCGATGCCATGCGACGTCAGGTTGCAGGCACGGTCCCGCGTCCCAAAGGATCCGGTCTCTGGATTGGGCTCGCAGAAGTTGGGCGAACTCTCGTAATAGACCAGGTCCCGTTCGGTGGGCGGCTTGAAGTATGCGTACTTGGGCCGCAGCGTCTCCACCCAACCCCGGGACTCGCGGTGCTTCTCCACCACCATCTCAGAGGCGCTATCATACTTGTCCTTCAGGTAGTCGCCGATGACCCGGAAGTCCGGCTGGGACCACCAGCAGGTCTTCACCTCGCAGCTGCCCGACAGCCCATGGCACTTGCACTTCAGGTGCATGTGGTCACTGATGGACTGGAGGGACCACGAGAAAGAGGAGTCAAAAAATGTCCATAGAAGAATCATGTAAAAATCAAGTACAGTGCCAGTCAACTTATCAGGCAACATTAACAACCGCCTAGGGCATCATCTTCTAAGAGGGTGCCGACTTGTCGAGCTCTACGTACCCCTCATGCCAGGGGTTGGGGTGGATGCCATCGGTGAAACTTGCCTAAGGCTCCACATGGGCTTCGCCTGTCACTGTACCGTTTGTTCTAGCTTATACCACCACAACTATTTAAGTCATAGTTTATGCAACAGATCTGTAGTGTCCATACTGCCAATACTGTCATGCCACACCCCATCCCAAGGGAAGCTTTACCCAGACGGTACACATAATCTGCTCTCACAATAGGACCCACAGCAGATCTTCAGCATAGCTCATCTTGTTATTTTGTCATGCCGTCCTGTCTGGCAGTAACAGTAAACTGAATATGGATGTGGATAATTACTTTCCAACGTCCATGCAATTGCATAAGCTTTTGTGTGGAAATCAAAACAAACAATGTCTCTGATATGCTCAATTCACAAATTTAAAGCCAAACACAAAACCACACTTAGGTATATGCACATAATTTTTAATTGCACAATGAGTTTGAATAAAGCGTTGAAAAGATTAGCTATAATAAGTTAGGGGGGCACAAAAATCTCTGATGCTGGTAGTGCTGGAAGCGTGGTGATTTCTGGAAGGCCAGTGCCGGTCTTACCGTGCGGCCAGCCTCGTTGTTATGGCGATTCATAGCGGATCGGGCGTCGGGCCGGTTCTCCCGCGCGTCGGCAAACTCCCGGGACACCATGCTGCCGAACTCGACATCCTCGCTGCAGCCGCCCCACTTCCAGCCCTCCCCGGGGGTCCCCTTGTGCCGTGTGTCGCAGCCGCAGATGGTTGCCGAGCCCTCGGCGCAGGAACGTGTCACGGCAAAGGCCACGCCGGCCGAGGCGATGGCGTGCACGAAGGCCGACTCCCGCGTGGCTGTGGACAGAGAGGGTGGTGAGGCTCGATCATGGTCGACACCAGGAAAGGTCCATGTTTACTTCCTGGTTCCTGGTCCAGACTTTTACTTTCTGGACCTGGAATGTCCACTTCTGGTCATTTTTTTTAAATGTTCTTCGATATTCTGAGGGCAGTCCTGTAATTTGACCACAGTACCAGGAATAATTATTATCTTGCAATAAAATGGGACTGTGGACCATCACACAATCAGTACAGGCTTAGGTTAAATAATTACAACACCGATGACACTTTGATAGGCCTCCTCCTTCTGCCCCTCTACTCCTCTGACCGACAGGTTTAAGCGAAAGCCCGGCACAGGGCCCGCAGCTGGCAGGCAGGAGACCCAGAGTGGGCTTGGCGGCCGACTGAGTCACCGGGGAGCAGGAACATCCACAGACGTGACAGGAAAAACACAGCTGACAGAGGTATAATTAAGTGACCTTTACACCACAGAAAAAGCTGCGCTCAACCTGACAGCCAATGAAAACCGGTCAGCTAATCGATGGTTTGGGACTAGTTGGCATACAATACACACAGATCACTTTGTTTTTAAACTGGTTTTAACAAATCGTTTATATTTATTTGAAAGTGTAGGCAAAACCAATCAGAGCTTCGTGCCAGACTGTCTTCTCTTAAGATATGATCTACAGCTTCTCCCCTTTATTCATACTTGAGCCTTTAAAGCTACACATCTTTACAGTACGGGTGCGCTGGTCTTGTACGGTCTTGCACAGCTTCTGCACGCGCTCACTTAGCGCGAACGCAGAGGGGAAGTCGTGGCAGCAGGTTCCGACTGGCGGAAAAACCGGCGGCGCCGTGCTCCGCGGCACTAAAGGGGACCCCCGCCGGATCCTGTCTCCCGCATGGCCATGGGATCCGGAACTGCTGTATCTGTCGAGACCCTGAGCCGGATCTCTCCCGGCTTTCCCTGACAGCAACAAAAAAAAAAAAAATCATGTCTGCCCTCAGGACCAGCATGTCGCCCTCGGGAGGGGCAGCATGTCGCCCTCGGGAGGGGCAGCATGTCGCCCTCGGGAGGGGCAGCATGTCGCCCTCGGGAGGGGCAGGCGTGACCGGAGCGGTCGGCTGGACGATTAAAAATTAATTATGGGGGCAAGTGCGGCCACTGACCCCCCCCCCCCTCGCCCCCACCTGCTGAAGCAAAGGGGGTGCGCTAATCCTGAGCTTCCCACAACTCGCTGATGTGGCCAGCTGGGAGAGAAAAAGAAAAAAATCTGGGGTGGGGGGGGGGGCTTCCCGACCCCATCCAGCCGGGCGGTTAGGGGGCC